CCGATATCTTCACGTGTGAATAAAACGAATAAAGAATGTATGTGCGTTGGCTTAGCCGTGAAGAACAATGACCGGACACACGGATTACATTACCAGATTGTCATACGTTACCATCGACGATTGGGTCATTGCTGGCGTCAGTATTGCCGTCATAAGTGTGGTTCACGGTGGCAAGTGCCAAATCAGGTGATTCATAATTCAAGGTTGCCAGTGCTAGAGACCGCACAGCATATGATAGACAATTAATTACGTCACCTGACATATTCAGACTACATAATTCGATTACACAGTAGTATTATACTGACATTTTATAACAATAATTTACTATGCTCCCTGCATACGAACATGTATATATATATATATATATATATATATATATATAGTTTATTATGTTTCAAGTTAATTTGACCGCATCGTGACGTCCACGCATCCTACCGCATGTAGAACTAATAACTTATTAAATTTTTATCAGTCGGTTTCTACTTAATTTACATGCATGAAAATGCATCTCTCCCTTCTCTCACCCAACCCCTCCACACAAAAGCAAACCCACGTACGCGCACATGCACGCGCGTACACACAAACGAACAGACGCGCGCACACGCACGTACATATAAACACACATATGTACACAAACACAGACACGGAAATACACACGCGCGCGCGCAACTAACTTACTGTGTGACTGTCGTTATTAAATTTATATTGCGAGATGAGAGAGTAGTAAGTGGATTTCTCCTGTCAGATATGCGAGCACTACGCTCTTACCCTTCCCGCCTCGATCTCTCGATGTTCGCTCTCACACAAACGCGCACGCGCCTCTTTATCGCGCAGAAATCCCAACAACCCTGTAGCATTTATTAATCAAATGTACTGCAAAATGGTAAACTAGCGTTAAGAGCCATTCACGTAATGCCTGTCAAACGACGCATGAGTGGCGGTCGCAGCATACACTTTTACACAGTCATCGAGGGTGGGAGTGAAGATCCGTTTGATGGGACGATATCGATGAGGATGAAGGTGAGCTTGATGAGGATTGGGTTGGGGATGATAATGAGAAAGGCAATGAGGACAGGATTATTAACAGCGATAAACACGTGGTTAAGGATAATGGGATATGAATAGCGATAAAAATGCGGTAGACTGCGAGGGTAAGGATTGGGGTGAAGATGGAGATAGGGATCAGAACACATACGATTGGATATATGAAGATAAAGACCAGGATGAAGGTAAGAACAAGGGGTGAGGGATGATACTAATAAGTGTGATTACTGTGATCAAGATAAGATTGGCATTGTATTGGTAAAAAAGATAAAGATGAGAACTGGTGAAGGCAGCGTGAGGCTGATAGGGTCTATGTCCCCCAGGGTACTGCCGGAACGTACCCTGGGTACGGTCCGGTATACCGGAACGTACCCTGGTACTAAATACTACTATCTAATATGCCGGACCGTACCTCGCCTACTCCACTAACGAGTCTAGGAAGTCGCCTACGCCTATTCCCTAACCCTAACCCTAACCCTAACACTAACCCTAACCCTAACCATATCAGCTAGATAGTTACCAGGGTACGTTCCGGTATACCGGACCGTACCCAGGGTACGTTCCGGCAGTACCCTGGGGGACATAGACCCTATCAGCCAGAGTGAATGGCTCCATACGTGGTCCACTTACCTTATCATACGTTATAGGAGGCGTCACACATGATTGTGAGTGAGCCAGTGTAGCCTATGTTGGCATATCAGTTATATTTTAAAATCAGATTTAGTGCAAATTTAATTATACAGTGAGGATCAAAGAAAATTATTTTACAATACTTTCCCAATACATTGTGGATGAACAAGTGCTTTATAAAATTATCACCTGTTTTGTGAGGGAACATGAAATTGGAGTATGTGGAAATTTGCTGAGAGAAGCACGGCGACACTGCGTGAGTAATCACGTAATATGAGTAACATGTCTTTTATAGATACATTATGTAGCATCATTCCGAGCGCGAGACGCTATGATCATGAAATTAATGCAACGCTAATCCTCAACTATAGTCACACGTATGACTCTCCTTATCCGTGACGTGTTTATTAACTACATCCATATCTGTGAATAGTCCATCATCACTTGATACCATCGTAACTAGAGGGCATCACGATCGTTGAAATACATGCAGCGTCAGATTTTCCGACAGATTCTGAAAGTCTCAACACGATCTGTATTAGCTGCCACGATCACTTATCGATCACTAGTCTATAGTACGTGTCATTGTGTATAGTGGCTACACATCTTATCCGACAAACAGGTGACGTGAGCAATAGCCAGCTATACCATAGTCTGCGGATAGCAGTGCAGAGGCAATCAGCCGCCACCAATATGAGTGACGAGTAATATAAATGTTGTAAACGTTTACGTATAATACATACAGCTATCGCGTACACACTTAGACAATCGCTTACAGAAGATTGTTTGGGTTTGTGTACATGTAAGCAACATCTGACACAGGCTAGAGTGACACCACATATAACGTGACATTTATACACTACTGTTGACCACAATGTGACATTTGTACACTAGCTATTGCTGTGCTACAGTGTGATATTCGTGCCCATGCTAGTGTTGTGCCACAGCGTGAGATTTGTATACTATTTGGTGTTGTGCCGCATAGACCGGGAGCCCAGGGGGGTCAGCCTAGCTGGAAAGGAAACCAATTTTCATGCATATAGCAATGATTCGTGTACATACCCATGTAAGGAAATG